ATTAAACTATGAGCTAGCAGATTTTATATCAATTTTTCAAGACTTACAAAGGTCTTGAAGAAAACCCTCCCTTCTAGGGCCCTTATAGGAATTTTGACTGAATGTTGTATCATTGAGGGTGTTTTGGTCTGAAATTGGGAAAGAATTATTGTGTTAGGACTGGCCCACATCTGATTTCGAATGATTCATGTGTGGCTCCAGGAAATATCTTTCCCAAGGAAGACCACCAAAATATCAAGAAGAAAGGGGTTTGAAAAGACAAAATCTTAAAGGAGGTTTAAATAAAACCAAAAATTCCATTTTTTTGCGGGGTGGGGGGGGGGGGGGGGGGGGGGGAAATCCCCCATGCAAGTGAGGCTTATGGAAAAACATTGTGATGATGTAATTATTCCAGTTATGAAAATTAAGAAATGTCATATAATGCTAAGGACTGGGAATCTGTTTTGTACACCATTCAGAGAGTGCAGCTGCTCTGACTTGCTTTCAGTTGAACTACCCAAGCTGGATGAGCTTCGCTGGAGGGGAGGGGGCATGCAAAAAGGCTACAATAGTTTCATAAATAAACTTAAAACTTTGCTGATGTTTTAACGGTAGAAATATGATTAAAAGCATTCCATTAAGATAACAAAGAAAACAGTGCAGTTCTGATCTTACATCCCTTCCCTGTTGTAGAACTAAAAATCCCGAACTTTCTTTTTTTCAGGTTGGCAGTAATCTGGATGCTCTGACTGTATTCTGCTATCATTTTGTGAAGGTTAGTTGATATCGCTAATCTGCAACACAATTTGAGACTAAAATAACCGAAAAAGTATTGTGACACATAACTAATGTGGGCCTTACATGTTACCTATACCTTAGAAGTACCTCATAACCCAACCCAGCTGCAACTTCACCCCCACTTCCACCCCCAAGCTGAGCAGACAGGCTTACCTTAGCTACCATATCCAGGTTTATCCTCACGAGTTCTTCAGCCATGGAAACCTCCGTCTTTCCATCCGCAAGCGTTTCCAGCCTCTGTAAGAACGAATCGCAAATGGTTGTAAAACTGTCCATTAAACTCATCAAATTCGGTCGATGAAAACCCGGATCCAAGGTGGTTCTCTTCCAATGCCATTCTTCCTCAGAAACCTCGGAAAGAAGTCCTCGGCCAAGCATCCTCTGACCAAACAGCGAGGAAAAATGACTGTAGCCGAACTCATCTCGGGGTAGATTCTTCGTAATCAGCACTTCCTTCACGAGTTCAGCGTCTGTGATCATGACAACCGGACGATGGAAAAACCAGAATACGAACATCGGGGAATAATGGTGCGCAAGTTCGGCCCAAATCTGGTGGATTGTTAACTTGGATTTCGTTCTTTTCTCGTATACTAATTTCATGTTGCCTCTGAAGAAGTCATCTCTCTTTGGTCCGGGCAAATGGTCGTATTTTCCGTGTAAATAGTACAAGTAGATAACAAAGCCGGTGAATACAAGGATGGTCGTACATAAGATAGCTGTTGCTACCCAAAGCAAGATTACACTCAAAGAAATCATGTAGAAAACAAAAAGCTCAGTAAAATGACGCAATGGTTGTGTTTGGTTTTTCACAGAAAGAGACTGGAGCCAAAAGTGTTGCCATGGCAACAACACAGAAGGTGTCATTCTGTTTCTTTTGTGATGCACATTTGTGGTGCCAAGTTTGAAGAACACTGCTCCAATATTTCTAGAGATATTCTTGATTCAGTGTTTTACTGTTCAAATGGAACCACGTATGACGTCATCACTTTCCTCATTTGCATAATACAAAAACGTAAATATCTCTAGAACGAAAAAAGATATTCCAAAAAGGGAAACGCCATTCTTCTTTACTTTGAAAAGCCTGTCAAATAAGCAGCAATTATGTTTTACTTCATATGCACTTTAACGTAGTAATTGTGTTAGAGAGTAAGCCCTACCTTGGACATGGATTGGTCTTTTCAGACATAAATTTTAATCTAGATTATTCCAATTAGAAACAGATATTTGACTTACTGGGATATGATACCTTTATACATTTAGACTGTAAAAGAATTTGCTATAGTATAATACATATTTAAAATGGGATAATCAAATTAGCTGCATACAATGTTCATGTAAAGTGAGCTTGTTTGGAATTGATAGGTTGCCTTTGATCTGGATTTGAACTCGACAAATGATCCTAACACCCCCATTCCTACAAATGCCAGGATAGCTCTGGAAGGCCTTGTTCAAAGTTTCCGAAAGCCTTTCATGCGGTTCCAGCCCTCCACCTATGGTTATCAATCTAAATGCAGAGAGGCTGTACGCTTCCTGAGGGAGGTGGCCCAAGGAGTGATCGAGAAAAGACAAGAGGAGAGCAAGACAGGGGAGGACCAACATAATGATATGCTGTCGCGCATTCTTCTGTTACCTCAGAAGGACAGCCGCACTACCATGGAGGATATGATAGATCATTTCATCTCATTTGTCGTTGGCGGTAGGTGATGATTTCATTACCTAAGTTATTAGGGGTGGATCCAGGATTTTTCATGGGGGTGGCTGGTACCTTGCAGCTGTAAAATCAATGGGGCATGCTCCCAAAATGTTACAATTTGAGAATTGGGACCTGACTGAAAACCATTTCACTAGAAATACCAGCAATGGCACAAAATAGAAATTACAATGAGGTACCTGTCTAGTGAGTTTTCCTTTCTTTCTGCCATAATATTCACAACCTTTTTGTAATTTTTTTATGTTTTGCTTCTCCAAAAAGGAAATGGCTAGCTGCCCAATCCCCCCCCCCCCCCCCCCCCCCCCCCCCCCCCCCCCCCC